AAATCTTTTTTTATGAAAGTGAAGCTCGTTCACTAGAATATTATGTCTTAATTAAAAATTTAATTTTGAAGTCATTTAAAAATTTACAGCATTTTTTTTTTTTCCTCCGAATTTTCCATAAAAATCTTGTTTTAATCAACATTTTTAATGGGATAAAAAGATTCAAAAAATCATTCCATAATTTATTCTTAAAGTCCATTAAAAACTGGAGAAAATGAGCCTTTAATGGATGAAATCGGTTGAAAATTGTCGAAGTTATGAAATTTTTGTAAAATCATGGAAATTGAATGTTCCAAGATTGGCCGTTGTCCCGCTCCTAGGTTCATGCACCACTTCCAGTAAGCCTTTCTGCGGACGTGTACGCATACGGTGAATTTCACTAACACTACCAGCTGTCACGCAAAATTAAATGGGATATTTTCAACAATATAATTTACGCTAGTGTTTGTGAGACCGCTCGGCGAGAACCTAACGCAACCAACTCAATTTGACAGCTTTCTTTCTTTAACATACATCTTAACGATGTATACGACAAAACGTGAATTCAAGTGTAAAAATGATCCTCAAAAGTTTTGTTACGCGTGTGGCAACTAAATATTTACAAAATCGGTCAATTTCACTGCTTCGTTGCAAACTGCATACAGGCTTTATTTTAAAATTGATCCTGGAGACTTTGACGAACCGTGGATTCCAAAAGTATTATGTAGTTCGTGCAAAACGTGCTTGGCTAGGTGGATGTCAGGCGCAAGGTAAATTGATTTTTTGAATAACTTTCATATAAACAATTTATGTACAGCATGGTAGTGCTTTGTTCTTTCCTGATCGACATTATCTTACTTCATCTATTTTTGATAAGTGTTAATGCCTTACTTACTAACTCACTTATTTGTTATCTGTCAGTCGCTATTTGTCCTTTGACATGCCCACCATATGGCGTCGACCGTTTTGTCATGCAACGGATTGTTATTTCTGATTGACAAAAGTTAAGCAACAAGGACGTCACAAAACAGTTGAGTATCCACAAGGCTTCTATGACAAAACCTGTTCCACATTCAAGTTCGGTCCCGTATCCTGTTTATCCAAAGCGGAAACGAGCGCCCTCTGTTGAATCGACCGTTACAAAAAGTGAGGAGGAATTCAAGGAGGAATGCGAGGAAGACTTCGAGGTGGAATTGGAAAGAAACCCAAAACTGTTTACACAATCCGAATTTAATGATTTGGTGCGAGATTTCGACTTATCGAAGGAGAAACCCGAATTGCTGGCATCACGCTTGAAAGAACACAACATGCTGAGCAAGGAGGTCAAAATTTCTTGTCACAGGAATCGTCACAAGAAATTTGACAAATATTATTCTATAAAGGACAAGGCATGTTTTTGCCATGACGTAAACGGCTTGTTTGAAGAGTTTGGTGAGCCATATGATCCAGCTGAATGGCGTTTATTCATCGATAGCAGCAAGTTGAGCTTGAAAGCCGTTTTACTGCATCAAGGGAATGAGAAACCTTCTATTCCATTAGCTCATGCCGTTAATATGAAGGAAACGTATGAATCAATGGCTCTATTGCTCAATTTGATAAATTACAATCAACACAATTGGAAAATTTGTTCCGATCTTAAAGTGGTTGCCATGTTGACTGGATTGCAACAGGGATACACAAAATATATGTGTTTTTTTTTGTGTAAATGGGACAGTCGAGCTCGTAAGGAACACTACGTCCGAAAAGATTGGCCAAAACGGAATAATTTCACAATTGGTAAAGACAACGTTAAAAATGATCCTCTTGTGGTAAAAGAACGCATAATACTTCCACCACTACATATAAAACTTGGGCTATTCAAAAATTTCGTCAAAGCGTTGCAAAAAGAAGGGCCGTCATTCCAGTACTTGAAATCCGTATTTCCAAATTTATCTGACGCAAAGATAAAGGAAGGTGTATTTGTTGGCCCACAGATCAAAAAACTGCTCAATGATTCCGCATTCAATACAGTTTTGACACCAGATGAGGAAGAAGCGTGGAAATCGTTCCAGCGTGTTGTCACAACCTTTTTAGGAAATTTCAGAAGCCCAGATTATGAGGAAGCCGTCGATGAATTGCTCAAAAATTATGAGAAAATAGGTATAAATCAAAAATATTGTGTTTGTTACATATAATTAATTTCAAATCCTTTTATTTCACTGAACACAGGTGTGAATATGTCTTTGAAGATACATTTCCTACATTCTCACATGGATTTTTTCCCGGAAAATCTTGGTGACGAGAGTGATGAGCACGGCGAACGTTTTCACCAACAAATGAAGATGATGGAACGTCGTTACCAAGGGTTTTGGGATGAAGCAATGATGGGTGACTATTGTTGGTTTCTGATTCGAGAAACAAGTTCAAAACATCGAAGACAAAGTCATTCGATTCTCAATCATTTTTAATAAAACCTAAATAAATTTCTTTTGTATCAACTCGGTTTTAAATCCTGATATGCCTTAATCAAATTGATATGTAGAGAAAAGAATGGACCTTAAGAATAAATTATGGAATGATTTTTTGAATCTTTTTATCCCATTAAAAATGTTGATTAAAACAAGAGTTTTATGGAAAATTCGCAGGAAAAATTAAAAAAAATGCTGTAAATTTTAAAATGACTTCAAAATTAAATTTTTAATTAAGACATAATATTCTAGTAAACGATAGCAAATTTATTTAGCTTCATTTTCATAAAAAAATATTTAAAATTGGTGCACTAGTTCCAAAGATATTGACATTTTAGTAATCGTACTTTTGTCCAAAATTAAAAAAATCAAAATTTTTGTATATCTCAAAAATGGCTCTACTTTAATTTTTTCTGACCACGGCATTGAATTCAGCATAGGATTTTGCATTGGAAATGATCATCACCTTACCGAGTTCAAAAATGCTGTAAACTAGTGTCATTTGACTTGCCTAGTCTAAACACAGCTTAAGAGAAAGAGAATGTGGGTCAAGTTTTGTCGGTCGTTCATGTTCGTTGTCAGGTGAGAAGCTAAGGTTGGTCTTTGTGGGGTTGTGCAGAATCTGATCGGGTTCAATATACAAGTGTTAGATGCTTTCCAGTTGGCAGAGTCATATGATGTGCTCTACCGTGTGCAGGACATGGCAGATGTCGCACATGCTGCGGAAAGGGCCGTTCGCAGTAAAGTTATGGGAAATGTTGGTGTGCCCCGTTCTTAGGCGAACATCACGATCTGGATACGGTGCTTGATCATTCGGAATCCCTTGAGCGAAGCCAATCGGCTGACCAGGATTCCTAGATCACCTTTGAAACCCAGTGTTTCAAATCCTTGGCTGAGACTTCCTGGATGTACTCTTCCGGAAGCCGCCAGGTGATCAGCCATTCCCACAGATGTGTACCACTGTTTCCAGGGATCCAAATAAAAGCGGTGTTGTTGGGTGCGTATTTCTGATTACCCTGGATCCAGGGATGCTTGGAAATGTCCGATGCGAGGGCCTCCACTACACTGGCTGAATCCGTGAAAACCGCGATTGGTCTGCTGGATGGTGTAGTGGCAGCGATGAAAGCAGCGACAGCCTCTGCCGAAAAGACTGGTCCGGTAGCCGGTGGCATACAGACATTTGAGAGTCTGTAATTCCTAAACCGACACGCCCACGAGCTGCGGAACCGTCGGAATATCGGATTGTATGACCGTTGTATACGGTTCGTTGAAGTTCTGCTACCGATTTCACTAGTGCGGGGGAGTTGGATACTGCCCCAAACTTCTAGATTCAATTTTTTTTTTTTATATTTTCCCAACACTGATCACAAGTCAGTCGTCGGATGGCTAATAGACAAAGTGGTCATTAGGTCGAATGTATATTGAGATTTAACATGTTCACTCCGAGCTATAAGTAGCTTTCGGGAACAGGAAATCAAATGATTTATTTGATAATTTTTCCATTTTTCAAAAACTCGTTCGATATTTTCTTAAATTTTATTACGTGAATATTAAAAAAAAAATAAAAAATGTTCCGCTCATTTACCAAGATTTTTTAACTTCTTTGATAAATGCTGGGGATTTTCATTTTCATTTAATATTTTTATTATATAATATTGTTTCTTTTGCAATTGTGTGTTCTTTCTAGTTCTACTATTTCCGTTACTGTTGTTTTGTCATCTACCATTTATCTTTTCAATTTAAAACTTCGCAAATGCTTTAATAACGATTGTATTGCACTCTGCCAACGGTAATAAAAATCGAAATTCGATGACATTCCCAATATCGAAAGGCTATAAATGAATTGAAATTGAAAACTAAATGTTAGATCTAAGGCGTGGATGGTTAAGTGTCATATACCAATCGACTCCCCTCAACGAGATTTGAAAATGTATGTGTGCGAATTCGTTTATTATCGGGGTTGGAACCAGTTCCAACCCAGTGCGAAACCGAACTTTTTGTCAGTGCGAACCTCAACCTGAGCTGGGTTTTAAAAACAAACGATCAAACTGACGTTTGTCTGAAAACAAGCAGACCCAATCTTGATACCCGATCCAGGTTGGAACTGAATAATAAACGAATTCGCTATAACTAACTCGGAGATGGCTGAATCATACTGAGTGTGGTGTGAAGCTCACAGAAGCAAATTAAAAATTCGCATCACGTTCGTTGCATGCTGTAAGTTTTTACAGAAGGACTAAGAGCGTCTTTCGGTTTCATAAGGGGGTTGCACTACTTCGTCATATGCAGCCCTTTTCCAACATACTCGTTGAAAACAATACAGTCAAACAGCTACACCCAACATGTACACACCAAATTATTTTCTCACGAGTTAAATTACGACTGGCGTAAAACGAAGTATACAGGGATGTACGTACAAAGACCGATTTGATGCCCTGACCTCATCGCTGCTATTCAAACAAAAACGCGCTCGCCCCCTGACTACAATACTGAATACTCACGTTGAAATGCAAACAGCAGAAAATTCCGTACCGACTTTGAATAACAAATAAACTCAATATTTACTATTTACAGTCCCCTGGAAGAAGCCACGTTCACCATCAACGGAAAGTCATATTCTGGTAAGCATTACAAGTCGAAATATCAACTAACCTCTCCGAGTAAACGAGGTCTAAACTTTCATAATACCGCATCGATTGCGTGTCTGCTAGTTAATTAGTACTCTAATCAGTGAGTCATTGCAAGTGAATAGATGAAGTACCCTTAGCACCCTTAGCGTTACAATTTGCTTTGTAACATTATACATGAACGTCTTCTCACTAGCCGACGCAAAAACGGTACCGATTGACACCTCCCTCAATACCTTCATTCGCAACCATGCGCACCTCAGTGGCACCAAGTTCATGTGCCTGGAGGGTGGCTGCGGAGCATGTGTCGTCAACGTGAACGGTGTCCATCCGGTCACCAAGGAGAAGGCTTCGTGGGCTGTCAACTCGGTGAGCTAACATCACTACGTCAATTCCAACTAGATTTGTAATACAGCAATGCATTATAGTGCCTCTTCCCGGTCTTCGCCTGCCATGGGTTGGACATCCTGACTATCGAGGGTATCGGTGGGAAAAAGGATGGCTACCATCCTGCGCAGCAGCGTTTGGCACATTTCAACGGAACCCAGTGTGGGTACTGCTCGCCGGGAATGGTGATGAACATGTACAGCTTGCTCGAGTCCAAGAAAGGTCAAGTTTCAATGCAGGAAATTGAGAATTCCTTCGGTGGAAACATCTGTCGTTGTACCGGCTATCGACCGATTCTGGACGCCTTCAAGTCACTGGCGGTTGATGCGGACGAGAAGCTGGTCAAGGCTTGCCAGGACATTGAAGACCTGCCGAAGGTTTGTCCGAAGACGGGGACGGAATGTGCCGGCAAGTGTTCCTCGGGTGGACAGAAACTGCTGCCGAGACAGCCGGTTCGTATGGTATTCGAAAATGGAAGCGAGTGGCACAAGGTGAACAATATGAATGAAGTTTTTGCCATTTTCGAACAAATTGGTGAAAAGCCGTACATGCTTGTCGCTGGAAACACTGCTCATGGTATGTAATTCTGAACTGGATTGCGATTGACGATTTAATCAAACTCAATTTCAGGAGTTTACCGTCGCAGTGAACATCTTCAGGTTTTCATTGACGTCAACTCGGTTGATGAACTGCATGCTCATTCGCTGGGAAACGAGTTGGTCGTCGGGGGAAATGTGTCGCTTACGGAATTCATGGATATTTTAACGGATGCAGCTAATAAGAATGACAAGTTTGGGTACTGCAAGGAGCTGGTGAAGCACATTGATCTGATTGCAAACGTCCCGGTGCGTAATTCAGGAACGATTGCCGGAAATCTCAGTATAAAAAACCAGCACCACGAGTTTCCTTCCGATACCTATCTAATTTTGGAAGCAGTTTGCGCTATGCTGACAATTGGTAGGAAATTGGGCATTGAATTTCTACAAATATTCGTTTATTGAAATAAGTTAATAAATTCCAGTCGAATCCGGCGGCAAAACGACCACTGTCAGCCCATTGAATTTCGTCCAGATGGACATGAAGAAGAAAGTGATCAAAAATGTGATTCTTCCGGCACTGGATCCAGCGGTTCACTTCTTCCGATCGTTCAAGATCATGCCACGGGCCCAAAATGCTCACGCATACGTCAACGGGGCATTCCTGGTAAAGACAAAGGCTGGCAACGACAGCTTGGAGTTGGCTCGGATCTGTTTCGGTGGAATCAATCCCAATGTAATCCTGCTTTTTCTTCAAAACCCTTAAGCACATCTAATGTCGTTCATTCGATTTCAGTTCACCCATGCTACGAACACCGAAAAAATGTTGGTAGGAAAGAATCTGTTCAACAACGACACCGTACAGTCTGCGATCGGTTCCCTGGCAGCCGAGCTGGATCCGGACTGGGTCCTTCCGGATGCCTCTATGGAATACCGGAAGAATCTCGCCATTTCCCTGTTTTACAAGTTCATCCTTGCCGTAGTCCCAGAAGGCCAATATAGCATGAAGCCGCAGTACAAATCCGGTGGAACCGTTATGGAGCGACCTCTTTCATCCGGCAAACAAACTTTCGATACCATCGAGAAAAATTGGCCGCTCACGAAGAACGTCCCCAAGATTGAAGCTCTGAATCAGACGGCTGGAGAAGCAAAGTACGCCAATGATCTAGCGCCGCAACCGGGAGAGCTGTACGCTGCGTTTGTACTGGCTACGCAAGCTCACTCCCGGATCGCCAAGATGGATGCTTCCGATGCGTTGGTAAGTTCTGCACTGAAGTTTTTAACGCAAAATTTAATCATCTTTCCTTTGCAGAAAATGCCCGGTGTAGTAGCTTTCTATTCGGCAAAAGACATCCCCGGTACCAACAATTTCATGCCGGCTGGACTGGGAAACGAAGACGTCGAGGAGATCTTCTGCAGCGGAGAAGTTCAATTCCATAGTCAACCGGCTGGTATCGTAGTTGCTGAAACGTTCAACCAAGCCCAAAAGGCGGCCAAAGCCGTGATCATAACCTATGAAAAGACCAGCAACCGTCCACTCTATCCTACTTTGAAATCGGTGATGGATGTCGATGCTCGAGATCGCTTCTACGACATGTCGTTTGACAATAAAGGCAAAGGATACAGAGTAGCTCAAGCAGCCACGGCTACGAAGACAGTAAAGGGACGTTTCGAGATTGCCGGTCAGTACCACTTCACAATGGAAACGCAAACCTGCGTTTGCGTCCCCATAGAGGACGGTATGGATGTGTATTCTTCCACCCAGTGGATGGACCTGACACAAGTCGCGATCGCAGAATCCATAAAAGTCCCCCTAAATAGCCTCAACATGTACGTTCGCCGTTTGGGTGGAGCGTACGGTGCCAAGATTTCCCGTGGGACACAAATAGCCTGCGCCTGCGCTCTGGCCGCTCACCTTCTGCAAAGAACTGTACGGTTTGTCCTGACCATTGAAACCAATATGTCGGCGATTGGTAAACGGTACGGTTGCATCAGCGATTACGACGTAGACGTCGAGACGAACGGTAAGATAACGAAAATGAACAACACCTACGTGCAGGATTACGGTGCTTCGTTGAACGAATCGGCACAGAGCGCAACTACTGAGTTCTTCAAAAATTGCTACGATGCGAAGACGTGGAAGATCGTTGGAAAAGCAGTGAAGACCGATGCACCAAGCAACACCTGGTGTCGAGCCCCAGGAACAACTGAAGGCGTTGCCATGATCGAGAACATCATGGAACATATTGCTTACGAGACCGGGAAAGATCCCCTGGAAGTTCGTTTGGCAAACATGACGGCTGACAATAAGATGAAAACGCTGATGCCACAGTTCCGAAGTGATGTAAAGTATGACGATCGTAAGCGAGCTATCGACGAGTTCAACGCTAGTAATCGCTGGAAGAAGCGAGGAATTGCCATCGTACCGATGCAGTATTGGTTGGACTACTTCGGACAGCTGAACGCGATTGTGTCGATCTATGCCGGTGATGGCACGGTGTCGGTTACTCATGGTGGCATCGAGATGGGGCAGGGTATGAACACAAAAGTAGCCCAAGTGACAGCGTACACCTTGGGAATTCCATTGGAGAAGGTCAGCGTTAAACCGTCCACTAGTTTGACGTCACCGAATGCTATCGTTACGGGCGGTAGCATGACGAGCGAAGCTGTTTGCTACGTAAGTTCTTGAATAGTTAATTTAGAGCAAATAATTGTAGATCTTCTGTATGTCTAGGCCGTCAAGAAAGCATGTGACATGTTACTGCAGCGAATGAAACCCGTCCGGGATGAAAACCCAGGTGCTCCATGGGAGATGATCGCCAAGCTGTCCTATGTGAAAAATATCGACCTATGTGCGGAAGCTCAGTACAAGGCGGAAGATCTCAAAGGCTACTACATCTGGGGTCTGAGCTGTGCCGAGGTAGAAGTGGACATTCTTACCGGAAACTTACAAGTGTCACGAGTGGACATTTTAGAAGACACGGGTGAAAGCATGAGCCCTGGAATCGACGTGGGACAAATTGAAGGTGCATTCGTGATGGGTATTGGTTACTATCTGACCGAGGCCTTGGTCTACGATAGCGAATCCGGTGCGCTCTTAACGAACCGCACATGGACTTACAAACCACCCGGTGCCAAGGATATTCCGATTGATTTTCGTGTCAACTTCCTGCACAACAGTGCCAACCCGGCTGGAGTTTTGCGATCGAAGGCCACCGGGGAACCGGCCCTGAATATGACCATTGTGGTGCTCTTTGCATTGCGATATGCTCTCCGATCTGCCAGGGCGGATGCCGGTCTACCGGGCAGTTGGATTGCGCTGGGAACGCCAACTACTCCTGATCAGGTGTATTTGCTCGCTGGAAACAATATGGGACAGTACATGTTGAACTGAGCGCCAACTGGGGTTTTGGTTTTTTCTAGAGTTAGGATATTCGATTGGTGCTGGTATTTTAGACCGTTAAGTGTAGTTATTCTCGATTACTTTTTCGACGGGACCGTATAGCTTTTGAAAACAAGGCATTTAATCGTTGATTTAGCGTAACTGGTAGCTCGCCCACGCAAACTAACACCACTATCAGGTAGGGGAAAATTTCCCCTATCTGATGATAGAGTTAGTATGCGGGGGTGAGCTACCAGTTACGCCAAATCGGCGATCAACTGCATTGTGTACAAAAACTGATACGTCCCTTCGAAAAAGTAATCGAGAATTGATCATACTGAATAAATATAAGATCAAGGTGTGATATGCCGTTGCATTTTTGAACTCCTGAAAGAATCCTCTGATATTTACGCACCAGGCACCACCAGTTAAATCATCATGTACATCTTGTAAAATTGTTTTCTACCACAGAGCAACCGCAAATTCGATCAATTCAACGAAGTTTTGCGATGACACATAGAGTGAATGCAAGCTATCACGACGAAGTCGCTTCCCTTCGTAATATTGTTGGTGCTTTAGAAGAAATTTTTCAAGCATTTCAATCGTAACTATTCAAATCGACGTATCTGATTTTGTAAACAATCACTTCAATCGACGATTCGTGGCAACTGGTAGCTCACTCACAGAAACTAACAAACCCAGCTAGAAGGAGGAAGATTCCCCTACCTGATGATGGTGTTTGTTTGCGTGGGTGAGTTAGCAGTTAAGACAAACCGTCGATTGAAGTGATTGTTTACAAAAGCAGATGCGTCGATTTGAATAGTTACGCTAGATTTACTATCAAAATGGAGCAAGCGCTGGAAAGGCGAGATGCTATTGGAGAATCTTTCATTTCTGCTGCAGATGAAACTGTTCGAGCTGATGAGACTGATTTCTCTGAACGATTTGCAGCACAAGTTCGTGTGCACGATGACATGGACCATTGTTAGTTTAAGATCGCTTTTTATCGTGTGATTTGTAATCCTCTGGTTTTATTATCAGAGTAATAAAAACAAAAAGTTTGGTTTACTTTTTTATAACATTTTCAATATCAAATTTTGCCGCAAAATCACGTCGCTTCTCAGAGTTGTCATCGAAACCAAGTGTTAAATCATTTTCAGGATCAACGGTTGGGTCGAAACGTCCAGCTTGAATGTAGCTACATGTCTTGAACAAGCTATGCAATGGATATCTAGAGAATTGCTCCATAACTTCTACTACAACAATCTTCATGTCACGATGCGAACATTCTAAGTAATGTCTTTTCAGATGCTAATTAACGAGCTCCAACACAATCTCGATGGGATTATAGAATGGACAATACGCTGGTAGGAAAATAGGAACAATTCCTTAGGATTGTAGCGGTACTCTGGTTAGAGATTGGATTAATGTAGCATGAAGCATGAAGCACTACTGAATCAAAGATTTCATTCGAAGTGACACCAGTTCACTAGTTTTCATCTGGTGAACTCATATCGATATCCTTTCCGATTAGGTGTAGTGACCGTTAAATATTTCGCTAGGCTAGTACGGTACTGTGCGTGATAGCAGTGTAACAAGAGGTAAATATTGAAGCTAGATGCCTTGCAACAATGCGCTCACCCAAGGCTTTTATTCATTAGCCTTATCCCGCCTCCTCCCCCGCTCGGCACACCGCGCCTCCTGGTATTGCCACTATCCTGACCACACGCTTCAGCATTGAAGGTCCCAACTTTCGGCTGGAGTTGGAAGGGAGCTGCACCGTTTATATCGCGGTCCAGAAGAGCGACTTTCCCACCCAACGGAAAACCGTCGCACTAACTCCTTTTGGTGAATTCATAGAAGAAAATTTCACCAAATGGCGAGAAAAGGGCTATTCTTGCTTGAATGCCGGAATCTGGCCGGCACGACGACAAAGGCGAACTTGTGAACTACGGCGAAATTGTGGTTTCAATCACTGGGCGGACTGGCGCGAACCGAGATAGTTTTCGGACGAGAGTGCAGAAACTGGTCTGTGTTGCTTTGTAGTTCTTAGGTACCTGATTTATTTGTCGTGTTCAGTGTGAGGTGGAGGGTAATCCATTTGGGATGTATATAGATGTAGAAGTGTAGAAGCGGTGTTCTGGGTGGTGGGTATTTTTAAGTTAATTTATAATTCATTTTGTATGTATAATTTGCTCGTAATTTAGTGCTTTAATGTTAGTACTATAAGTTCTGGGCCGCAACATCACCGGGCCCCGTTGAAGCGTAGCATTCAAGAAGAGTTGGTGGTGACGGTTTCACAATCGTGTGCCTTCGTTGGATCCTGATCTTCGATGGGAAGGACGCATAGTTCAGATGTTGCACGGCGTCGAATACCTAGTTGCGTGCGCACATCCACTACGCGCACGATGTTGTCACTTCCGAGATAGATGGCCACAACTCTGCCAAGGGGCCATTGCATCGAAGGGACGTTATCTTTCTTCACCAAGACCATGGTCCCGACGTGAAACTCGGTTGGGGACTTCCTCCACTTAGTTGGCCGTTGGTGGAGAAGCCCGATGTATTCCGTGGACCAACGCTTCCAGAAATTTTGGACGGAGCGTTGTGTGGCCTGGAAATGGTTGAGACGATTGGTTGGCACCTGAGAAAGGTCTGCCTCTGGCAAATGAAAGGGGGACTCTCCTAGCAAGAAATGACCAGGTGTCACAGAGATCCTGCGGGTCGTTGGAAAGAGGCATCAATGGTCAGGAGTTCAGTATACATTCAGCTTGGGAAACAACTGTGCGCATATCGTCGTAGTGGTGTGGAACTGCTCCGATGATCTTCCAGAAATCCCGCTTGAAGGCCTTTACTGCAGTCTCCCATAGGCCACCGAAATGCGGCGCACGTGGTGGAATAAACTGGAACTCGATGCCCTTCTCCAACCATCGGTGGTCCATGCAGTGCTGTTGAGTTGATCAACCAAAGCTTGTCGCATCTCCATAACTTCTCGACGCGCTCCGACGAACGTAGTGCTGTTGTCGCAGTGTATTGTACGAACACGCCCGACACGACTCGCGAAGCGCCTCAACGAATTGACGCACGACTCCGTCGACAACCCGGCGATGATGTCGAGGACTACGGCTTTTACGGCGAAACTGACGTACACTGCGACCCAGATTTTTACCGACGCGCCTCTACCTGCCAATGGTCGAACGAAAAACGGCCCACAGTAATCCAGCCCCGTATGCTCGAATACTTTCGCTGCAGTGACACGGCTTGATGGTAGTGGAGCCATGAACTGGTTGCTTGCGGGGGGATGAAAACGAAAACAAGTCACGCAATCGTGGACTGTCCTTCGAGCTAGATCTCTTCTGCGTATTGGCCAGAAGCGCTGACGGATTGTTGCCAGGAGCTGTGTGGGTCCTGCATGCAGTGTTTGATGGTGAACGGAGTTGGCGATCAATCTTGAAAGGTGGTGGTCGGCCGGTAGTATGATTGGGAGGCGGCTGTCGAAGGATCCAGGTGAGTTTGATAGCCGTCCATTCAATCGGAGAAGACCGGTGTCATCGATCCACACATCAAGGTCTTTTAATGGTGATTTGAAGTCAGCCTTTCGCAGGGCCATCCGTTCTTGATTATTGTGCCGCAGGTGGCGCAGTTCCTGCTGGAAACATGCAGTTTGCGTAACGCGGATGAGTGACTTCAAAGTACTGTCGTATTCGACCGGAGTGATTGGTCCAACTATACGAGGCATCCTCGGCAATTGGCAGTTTTTTTTACGAAACGTTGACAGTATGAAGCAACTTTCATAAGATGCGACAGTTGTGAGTAATCGTGGATTATCGAATGGTGAAATGTGACACTTAGGAGTACAACCGTTTGCCGCTGCTCAGGTGTCTGCTGCTGAATGTCGGTAGACGTCAATGGAATTATCGGAGCTGGCCACGATTCCACTTCATTCAGCAAGTAGGACGGCCCATGCCACCACAGTGCATCGTTCTTGATATCATCCGGTTGTACCTCGCGAGATATACGATCGGCGGGATTTTCTAGGGTTGGAACGTGCCACCACTGGGATCCTTGGGCGAATTTCTGGACCTTTGATACTCGGTTGGACACGAATGTCTTCCAGGACGACGGTGCAGAATTAATCCAGTGCAAAACGATCGATGAATCTGACCAGAACGTGACCGTAGAGTCAAACTTGGTTGTTCTACGAATGGTATCAGCCAACTGGCTTCCCAGTACGGCTGCACAGAGTTCCAACCGTGGGATGGAATAACCACATGCTGGAGCAACACGTGATTTTGCTATGAGTAAATGGTTTGTTCGTTTAGTGGAAGGTCCTGTTGATACTGTGTAGGTGCACGCCCCATACCCTTTGGAAGAAGCGTCGACAAAACAGTGCAACTCGTAGCTCTTTGCACCCTCTTCGAACACCCACCGAGGGAGTCGAAGATTCCGAACGAAACCAATTGCTGCTCGGGAGGACAGCCACCATGATTGCAGAACGTCCGGCAGCTTTTTGTCCCAGCTAAGTTTCTCCTGCCACAATCGCTGCACAAACATCTTCGCACTGGCCAGAACTGGACCGACCAGACCCAAGGGGTCAAATAACTGCGACATCTCCGATAGTACGAGGCGCTTCGTAACGTGTGGCAGGGCTGGAAAATCAGGGACCTTGAATCCAAATGCGTCCTCCTTTGGAAACCATAGTAGGCCCAGTGCCTTGATCGATGCAGATCGGTCGAGTTCTAGCGGCAACTGATGCTCCTTTCGTTCCTCTGGAAAATGTTCCAGAAAACTGGGGTGATTCACGCTCCACTTCCGCAGATTGAAACCACCTCGCTTTAGTAATTCGGTCAGCTGTGTGCTGGTTTCAACTAGAGCTCCGATGCTCTCGGCTCCAGTATAAACATCGTCTGCATAAAAATCTTTCTTGACAATGGGAGCAGCAAGTGGAATCATCGTCCGCCAGCTGGTTTAGGACTCTGGTTGCTAGATACGGAGCACAAGATGTGCCGTAGGTGACAGTGTTCAAGGAATAGGTTTTCAGTAACTCTGATTCGTTTCGGCGCCATGCAACTTGCTGTAGTAGGCGATCGTCCGGATGAACCAAAGCCTGTCGAAACATTTTCTCCACGTCTGCTTTCATGACGAATCGGTGGAAACGAGAGTTGACAACGATGCACAACATGGAAGGCTGAACTGTTGGTCCTGTGAGAAGAAAGTCGTTCAAGGAGAGCTGGTTGTTGCTTTTAGCCGAGCCGTCGAACACGACTCTTATTTTGGTTGTTGAAGAGTCGGGACGATGGACTGCGTGATGGGGCAGGAAATACTGGGGTAACGCGACGCGAGTCTTCACCTCCTCCATGTGGCCTAAACGTTCGTACTCCTCCATGAAATCGGTGTAGCTCTTGTATGGTGTTTCATCGGAGCGGAACCGTCTTTCAAGGGCAGAAAATTGACGAGCTGCTATGTTCCACGTGTCTCCAATAGACGGTAGAAGTTCTTGCCTAACTGGTAGACGCACTACATAACGACCATCGGCATTGCGACTGTGTGTAGATGCGAAGTGGGCACTGTTGTTCTTCGGCAGTCAGGCATTTCCCGACATCAAAGTTTTCCACTTCCCAGAACCTTTTCACCTGTGCGTCCAGGTTGTCGAAAGCGGAGACCAAGCAGGTAAGTGGAGTGATCATCGAAGCGGGAACCTTTCCCGAGAATACGTATCCGAAGCTTGTCTTCTGGAGTGGTGGCAGCTGGTTATCGAACGGAATCTGCTCGGATTGCAGAATGAACGGGATAAGCTCGGCAACGATAATTAAATCGATACCGTGACTTTGATAGAAGCGTAGGTCTGCTAACGGTAGATGCTTGGGAATTTTCCACGTTTTAA